TGTAGGGAACTGGGATCCTGATCTCACTTCCTGGGCTGGGCCCTGATGTGCACACCCACACACCCACAGACACACATAGACATGCACAGACATATACAGACATGCACGGACACGTGTAGACATGAATACACATGGACAGGCACACAGACAGACACAGACACACGGCCACGCACACTGACACAACCGCAGATACAAACACATGTGGACATGCACACAGACACAGCAGAGATGCAGACATGAGAACACGTGGACACACACATATCAGGCTTCTGGGCCAGGGTCGGGCAGGCCACTCTGCTCTTTCTGGAGATTCTAGAGAATATTCTGAACTCAGGGAGCCTTGACCTCCTGAGTCAGAAAGTCCTAATGGAAAGAAAACATAGTAGGAGCTTGAGTACCCATGAAACTCTAAACCACCCACCTGTGTCCACGACCCCTTCCAGTGTGTTCTTGTAGATGCTCCTAGAGAATTAAATTTAGTGCCTCTTCCATTCTGCCCTTATCATTGATATTTTTCCACATTTACCCATTTTCTAGATTCATCCTGGCCCACGTCATTGCTTTCCATTTAAAGGGCAAGATAACATTCCAGGGCGTTCAGCTCTCATCGTTGCTAAGCTCTTTCTCTGTTTGGGGCAGATGCTCCGTTGCCAGTTTTTGGCGGTAATAAATGGGGCTGTTGGAACATTTTTGTACAAATGCTTCTCTTTATCTCCTGGGTCATTTCCTTGGGGTATAGCCCTGAAAGCCAATGGCTGAGTCCAAGGCTGGGAATGGTTATCAGGTGCCTCTTACCCTGTGGGACTGCTGTTTGTGAAAGGAACATTTGAGTTGTGAATTCAGAAGTGAAGTCCGCAGGATTTATTGAGCATCTCATGTGCCCAGGACTGTGCTGAAACTGTCTAGGAGAGAGAAGACATGGGCTCCGGCTGTGTGTGACATCAGGCAGCAAAAGACCTAGGATCCCATCCCAGCCTTGCCCCCAACTCTCTGAATGAACCTCAGCAAGACCCTTCCCCTCTCTGGGCCTCAATCTTCCCGTCTGAGAAATGAAAGGGTTGGATAGGCGATGGTGGCCAGAGAGCGCCTAGTGGCTCTGGTCCCATGACTCAGCCCAGGGATGCTGGGGCGAGGTGGTGTTGCTAGGCAACAATGTTTGTTTCTGGTTCTGATGTGTATCTGGGACAGCTGCGAGTACTCCTGGCTTCAGCACTGGCTCCCGGGGGCAGCCGGCCAGGGTCCCACACAGGGCCAAACCAGCCGCATCCGGGGGAGGGGATGGGACAGGGAGAGGATAGAGCACCCCGAGGATGCTGCAGGGCAGTCGGCACACCCACTCCCTCTCATGGCCCAGGGGAGAGGTGGGGGGCTGCAGCTGGGTTCTGATGATCCAGGAGAAAAGCCGCTTCCTCCTTAGAAGCGAGTGGCATGGCATGGACTGCCCAGGGGCCCCTCGTGGGGTCTTTACCTTGGGGGATCTTCATAGCTCATCTGATCCCTGGCCTGGTGGCTGGGTGACCATGGACAGCAGGACTTCATCTCTCTGGGTCTCTGCAAAAGGGGTGATGATAGTAGGATCTGCCTGCCTTGCAGGTTTGGCTGTTGAGTCTCAAGTGACAGTGTGCGCGGAAGTGCTTAGCTGTGCAGTGGCGCATAGGAAGCCCTCAAGTGTAGACAGCTGTCACCTGTTAGCATCTCTGGGTTTATGTTGCACGGGCTCAGAGGATGTGTATTCTCCCCCTCGCTCATATATTGTGCTTGGCCCTTTCGTTGGTATCAGGCCCCTCTTCCTAAACTGCTCCAGCTTGGGGTTTCCGTCTGGGGCTTCCTTATAAGGGTCTATGGTGTGGGTCAGGGTCAGAGTGGCCACTGGTGGTTGAAGGTGCCGTCCAGGCTGACTGGTGCTGGGGGCGGGGGGGGATGGGCAATCCCTGCTGCAGCCTCAGACCCCACCCTGGCCCAGCAGACAAGCGCCCAGCATGTATTTGCACGTGGTGGACGTCTGTTGAGCGCTGTTGAACTGCGTGCTGTGGTTGAGGATCAGCCTCTGGTGGGCTCGGTTCTGCAGGGGGTGCTGTTCATTCATTTGACAGCCTCCGCCCAGAAGGCTCTGCTCACACAGTGAGGTTGGACGGGCGCTTTAGAAACGGGGGCAGCAGGCGGAGCATGGGACACAGCAAGAGGGCCTGGGTGCAGACCAACCACCAGATTCTGAGCAGTTGGAGGACGGGGTGCATTTCTTTCACCCCAGTGGCCCACCTTGAACCCAGTGGCTCTTTGTCATATGAGTGAATGAATGAATGTACGAGAAATTGGCTGAACTCGGCTCCATGGAGCTCAGAGCAGGGGAAGTGTAACCTGCCTGCACTCGTCAGGGAAGGGTTCATGGAGGAGCTAGAGGCTGTGCTGCCTTGAAGGGGATCTGGGGGCAGGAGAGCGGCATTGAGACAGGGTGGGGTGTGGGAAACAGTGTGAGCGAAGGTGGGAAGGGGTGCGTGTGTGGACAGGGACAGCTGGGATTTGCCATCAAATATTTATCGAGCACCTGTTGTGGGCCAGCACCTGTGCTAAGCACTGGGAACATGGCAGGAACCACCTGGGCAACCTGGCCGCTCCCTTCACGGAGCCATCAGACAGCGACAGGTGATTACAGGTGTGTTAAATGCCATAAAGCCTCCAGGAGTGTGTGAGAGAAGGGATCCGGCTGGAGCAGCAGGGGCAGCTTCCCTGAGCCACAGAGGAGCTGGAGAGGGGACCCCAAGCTGGGTTGCAGCGAAGGTGTGGCCTGGGATTTGCACTTTCTATCAGATGCCCTTTGGTCTCTCCAGGCGGATACATCCCCCTTGAAGCTCATAGGACCAGGGGGACAAGGCAGGGTAGGTGGATCTCCCTCCCCGTCCCCCATCATCTGCATGGCTGTGTGATCCTCACAGCCAACAGCGAAGCCTCGAGCGCACTGGAGGCCATAAACAGGAAATTCCCCTCGAACCTTTCCATGTTTTCATCTGGGCGCCACACGGAGCCATCTGGCTGCTCTCGCCTTGGCGGGGAGGCTGCTGCTAATTACACCACAGACACAGGGCACACGGCAGCGCTCTCCCCACTTCCTCCCACCTCCCCCCTGCCCCTGACACCCCTCCCGGGGCTGCAGCCCCCAAACCCCAAGGAGCCTTGGGAATGTGGAGAGAGAGGGCCCGCGGCATGGGGCGGGGGCGGTGCAGAAGGGCTGCCCTGCAACCCCTAGACCTCTAGGTCCTGTTTGGTCTGCCCCAGGCCCCATACCTTTTTCCTGTATCTGGTCCAAGTGGGGTTTGCTCTGTGCCAGGTCTGGGCTAGGTTCTGGGGATACAAAGGCAAATAAGATGGCTGGGGATGTGTCCTCTTAGGGCCCGCAGGTGACAGGTGGTCACAAGCCGGTGCGGTGAGGGTTGTGATGGGGAGGGCTCTGCAGGCCTCAGCTTGACCATTTATAAGATGGAATTTCCATTAGTTCCGTTTCCTCCTTTGTGGTATAGCGAGCAGCCTTCCCTCTTTAGGAAATGACCTGGGGGTCATTATGAGAAAGACAAGATGCCTACATTTATTGTTGAGAATTGTTTCCGCTTTTGGAAGTTTCTTTCATTATGTTTTTTATCCCGGAAGCTCCCACTTCCTATCCTTTTAAGGGCTTGGTGAGGGAGGAAGTAACTTCTCTAAAGTTCTTAGAAGAACTAGAAGGTAACATCTGAGATAAAGGAATTCCAGAGCAGCCTTTTCAAATATGAAGAAATTGGGGTTCAGAGACGTTGTCTGCCCTGCCTGGGCTGGCTCAGCACGTCTATAGCAGTATTGGACCTCAGATCCAGAACCCTGGTGCTCAGCCTAGACCTCTTTTTGCTGACCCATGCATCCCTGCTTGGCTAGTCGAGGTTTGCAGCAAAGTCCCCTAAGGGAACCATGTCCCTGCACCAAGTGTGACGCAGTGTGTATGTTTCAGCCTCAAACTGATTTGGCTCGTGTTTGGTGGATGTCAACTTTATTTAACTTAAAAAAAAAAATTGTGGATGAGAAAAGCCAAGCCAGGGGAGGGGAGCCACACAGGGGAAATGTTTACTTGTCACTGAGACAAGAAAGCATCTGTGTTGTGTTTTTTCCTTTTTTCTTCCACTTTGGAAGATTAGGGGACCTACTTAGGGCTGCCCAGCTGATTGGGGGCTGGGGGGCGAAACACAGACATGTTGAGGGGTCATGGTTTTTACTAGCAGCAGGGCTGCTTATCGAGCACCTACTATGTCCCAGGGACCATGGGCTTTGTGTGCATCATGTCACTCCATACGTGCCGTCTCCTGTGATCCCAGGTGAGGACACCGGGGCTCAGGGAGACGGAGTCCTTGGCCCAAAGTCCGCCTTCAAGAGGCCGAATGGTGGTGGATGCGGGGGCCACTTGCTGTCAAAGCCCTGTTCCCATCTGCTCCACCAGGCTGCTTCTCAGGGCAGGGGCACTTCCCTGTGTCCTGGGGCAGTGCTCCCAAGGGGTGGTCCCCCTGAGGACCTTGGTAAAACCCCGATTCCAGCCTCCCCCCACAGATCAGAGTCTCTGGATGGGGCCTGGGAATCTGTATGTTTCACATATAGCTGGAAGATTCTGATAAGAAGCCCTGCTCTACAAGGGGGAATGATGGACTCTACCCGTGAGAGCTGATGGTGTGTGAGCCTGTGGCACAGGAGTCCTGCTCCTGCGCGTGGGGACACATACCTCAGTGTGCAGAGAACTCTGGTGGTGAAAGAAAGAAAGAACGAATGAAGGAAAGGAGAGGGAGGGAGGAAAGAAAAACTTAAATGTTTAAACGCCCACCAAAAGGAAAACAAATTAATCCAGTTGTGGTACGATCACACAACAGACTACTATACAACAGTGAAAAGTGAATGCATCAGACCCACACACATACACATGATGCCATTTATATAAGAGTTTTAAACGATGCAAAACTGCATTGCGTATTGTTATGGATGCACTGTCGTCACCATGATAACAGCTGACCTTTGCTGAGTATGTCTGTTCCAGGCACTGTGCTGTGAATTAGGTCTTTCAGTTCTCTGGACAACCCTATGAGGGATAAGTACCACTGTTGTCTCTTTTTTCCAAAAGGAGAAAACCGAGGCACAGAAAGGTTAAGTGACTTGCGCAGTCTCATACAGCAAGCACATGGCAGAACAGGGTCGGACCTAGTTGTCCCAGACCAGTGCCTGGGCTCTAGAGACCACTGCCTGGTATATCACTCACAACTGTCCTCAGAGAACTTGCCCCAGGTGCCTGCTGGATGCTCAGGGCAAACTGGACGAAGGGTTTGCTGGGTAGGGGGATTACAAGCTCACTTTACATAGGGAGACAGAAAACCAGCAGAGCAAAACTAGTCACTCGTGGTTGTCCAGAGAGTGAATTGCCAGCAATATTGACCTGTTTAATAAGTGTTCAATAAGTGCACGTCCAGCACTTGGCTTGCACCTGCTTGGGAGATGGAGGCTATTGTCATCCCCGTTTTGCAGGGGAGGAATCTGAGACTCAGCAGAGCCGGGAGTGGAGACCCGGACTGGAGCCCAGCTGTACTCTGATGAGCATAGGCGGGGGAGGGGCTGGCCCTTGGAGGTTACCACCCCCACTCCCCGCCCCCGTGCCAGCTGCTTGCACTTGGGGCCCTGCTGTGGCCAGTGGCCGCAGCTGCCAACTCAGTTCTACGGGGGCAGGGACTGCACGGAGCCAGCACATGTGGGCTGGTGACATCATATCTGCAGAGGCCCCCTCGGGTCCAGCCCAGCTGCAGGAGCCTGGCTGGGGGTCCCAGATCCCCGTGGGATGGGGGCCGGGTGACTTCAGCAAGATGGGCCAGGTTGGGGAGTGCAGTGATGGGGGATCTCTACAACTTCCTCCTGAGGGCCCAATATGACGCCGGACAACAGGACACAGAAAAGCCCTGGATTCAGAGCCTGGCCAGACCTGGCACTTAGACGCAGAGGGTCTCTGGGCTGCAGCTTCTCCCTGGAAGCCGTTGCGGGGGGGGCCTCCAAGTGAGGCCTCATCCCCACTCTCAGGGCAGGGTCGAGGAACGGTAGGCATATGCATTAGAGGAGGGAGAGTTACTGGCGACTAGGTACCAGGCCCTGGGCTGAGCCCACATGGAATCTGTTCACCAGCCTCAGCCACAGAACTTCTTAATATGCCCATTTTACAGATGAGGAAATGGGGGCTCCAAGAGGTGAAGGGACTTGCTTCACCCAGCTGGGAAGGGTTCAAAGTTAAACCCAGCCAGCGGACTCTTAGCCTAGTGCTCTTTGTCTGTTACGCAAGTTGGAGGGGACCTGGCCTCGGCCTGGTGGTTTGGGGGAAGTGGAGGCAGGGCAGGGGGAGGAGTAAAGGGTGGATGGCGGACACTGCCTCAGTCCTGGCAGGCTGCCTGGAGGAGGCAGCTGGTTCAAGTTGGGTCTTGGGCCTTTCCGGCAGAGGTGGGGTCGGTTGGGGTCTTACCAGTGCCCCTCACTCCCACAGGCATTGCCTCCTCCCATCAGGCTCCCTGCATCTGGCCCAGGCCCAGGTGAGTGACAGTGGCCTCTATGAATGCACAGCCAGTAACCCTGCGGGGTCCGCTGCTCGGTACTACATCCTCAGGGTGCAAGGTAAGGCCCTGGCTGGCAGCCTCTGTCTCACACCGCTCCCCACAACTCCCATCTTTCTTAGGCCTCTCGTGCCCCTCCCCCATCTCCACGCCAGGCTCTGTCACCTCTTCATGGTCCTCCAGTGTTTCTTCCATCAACTCTATTTCCTGTCTTTTTCAAGCCTTATCTCTCCTCCTCACCCCCCTTCTTCCCCTCTCCTGAACCCCTTGGTTGAGCCCGGAGAGTCTGTTCAGAGGCCCCCTGAGAGCAAAGGGCAGGGCCCCGTGGCGTTGGAGACTTGGGTGTTGGGAGGGGGACCCACGGAGGGGGTTCTGGTTCCTGGCTCAGGTGGGGGCCCAGGAGTGCATGTTCACCTGGGTGTCCAGGTTGCATTCACAGAAGCCACCCAGTGGAGTCACTCCACCAAAGAGGCGGGGACCTTGTCATCTCCAGGAGCACGGGGATGAGTTGTCTGAGACAGGGGTCCCCTGACTGCAGCCCTCAGCCACTACTGACCTACATGCCGTTTTCATGTGGCCCACGAGTGAAGAATGATGTCTACATTTTTAAACGATTGGGGGGAAGAAAGGCAAATAATGTGACATATGAAAATTATGTGGAATTCAGGTTTCAGTGTCCATAAATACAAGCTTTACTGGAGTGCCACCACACACGTTCAGTTACATAGCGTCTGTGGCTGCTTTCACGCCGTAATGGCAGAGTTGAGTAGTTGAGACAGAGACCATCTGGTCTGCAAAACCTTTTCAGAAAAAGCCCTTTCCAGAAAAAGCCAACCCCTGATCTAAGCTGACTCCCCATTTTACAGGTGGACAGGCTGAGGTTCAGAGGGAGGGGCTCAAAGCTTTGCTGTGAGTTTGCATGAGCGTGGGAGAGAAACAGAGAAGCAGGAAGCAGGGTGATGAGCAGGGTCTCAGAGTCGGCAGAGCTGGGTTTGAATGCTGACTCCGCCGCGGACTGGCTGTGTGACCTTAGGCCAGCTGCTTGGCTTCTCTGAGCCTTGGATTCTTCTTCTATAAAGTGGAGGCAATAATGCCTATCCCATAGTTGTCAGAAAGGGTATTGATGACATCAGGCACTCAGCACAGTGGAAACTGCTGTTGTTTTCAGCAAGTGTTTTTAGGGAGGTGGCGGGCAGGGCCTGTACACCCTCGTGCTCCTAGACAGTGAGGCTCTGGGCTCCGGGTGGGGGAGCTGATCTCTGCCCAGGGGCCAGCTTCCATAGATGGTCTTATCTTCGGGCTCCTACTCTGAAGCTGGGAAGGGAGTGGATGTCCTCAGCTTCCCCCGAGGGCCCAGGACACTTGTCCTCGTCTTCGAGAATTCTCCCGGGCTCATCCAGTCTGGTCCCACGGAAGCCACCTGGATTCCTGGTCACACAGACCCAGCCTTGGGGCCGGTCCAGCTCCTATGAGCCGACGCAGCGGGTGACTCTGGTCAAGTCACACAACCTTTCTGAGCCTCAGTTTCTTCATCTGCAAAATGGACATAGCATCACCCACCCTGTAGGAGGGACCAACTGGGATGGAGGATGGGAAAGTTGCTTGAAAAGCACAAATGCAGAAGAAACAATACCCACTATCCTCCCCAAGCCAGGGAAGGGGAAGAGCGAGCTGGGAACCCTGAGAGTGAGTCTAGCCGCAATGTTTTAGGCGCCACTGTGGGGCAGGCTCCTTGCTGGCTGCTCTAGTACTGCATCTCATTTCATCCCAGGGCTTCTTTGTGAGAAGGGGAAACCGAGGCTCCAGCCAGTGCAGGGTCCTGTGGCTGAGAGGGGCAGGGCTGGGATTTGAACCTCCCCTTCTGTGCATGCTGCCCCCTGGGCTGAGTCAGTCCCGCCGCCCCCTGGGCCTCAATGTCCCCATTCAGCACTGAGATGGTGTTTCCCAGCTGGTGGTTCTCAAATGGTGCTGGGTGCAAGCCTGGGGGTAGGGATGGGGATGGGGGCTGGCGGGGGAGTAAGCTGAGCACAGAGGAGCGATTTTTTTTGTTTGTTTGTTTTGCGTAACGCGGGCCTCTCACTGTTGTGGCCCCTCCCGTTGCGGAGCACAGGCTCCGGACGCGCAGGCTCAGCGGCCATGGCTCACGGGCCCAGCCGCTCCGCGGCATGTGGGATCCTCCCGGACCGGGGCACGAACCCGTGTCCCCTGCATCGGCAGGCGGACTCTCAACCACTGCGCCACCAGGGAAGCCCGAGGAGTGATTTTTTGATGGCAACACGTGTGTTCAAGGGAAAGGCTGATTTTGCCCTTGCGGGGGGGGGTCCACACGGGATGTCCTACTGTCAGTCGCCCCCCACAATGACGATTTCCACTGGTTGGTGACGGCCAGGGGTGTGGGGAGCCCTGCAGCAGGCCAGGCCCTCTCTGTAAGTCTGGGCTCTGTGACTCCCCCCACCCAGGGCCCCTGCCTTGACAGCCCTCCCCGTGGCCCTGTCAGTGCCCCCCCAGGTGCAGCCAGGCCCACGGGTTCTGAAGGCATTGGTGGGGGAGGCTCTGGACCTGAACTGCGTGGCCGAGGGCAACCCGGAGCCCCAGCTGACCTGGTCCAAGGATGGGGTGGCCCTGCGCAGCGGGGGGCCCAAGGGCTCCGTCCACTTCATGGCCATCCAAACCTCGGACGCTGGGACGTACCGCTGTGAGGCCTCCAGCAGCGCTGGGGTGGATGCCTGGGAGCTGAAGCTCAGGGTGCTGGGTGAGTCTCCCCTGAGCCCCAGAGGTTACCTCCCCACTCCTTCCCCAGCAGCAGCTTGGGCTTCTGAGCTGCTGGACCCCTTCCTTCCTCCCAGCCCCCAAAGCCGTGTCGGGCCGCTTTCGCCAGCCCTGGGGGGGGCTCCGTTCTCGGGGTGGGGTGCAGGCACCGTGAGGTGGTGATTGAAGAGCAGCAGGCCAGCTTCTCCCACTTTCCAGCTGGACAACCATCGGCCAGTCATTTACACTCTCTGACCCTGTAACATGGGTCCAGTAACATGTGAGGGGTCAGTGAGAGAATGTGTGTGAAGTGCCTGGGGCATAGAAAGTTCTGGATCCCTGGTGCTAGCATTTTCACTATGATGAATTTGAAACACACTCAGAGAAGGCAGGGCAGGACGATCCTGAGCTCAGTTCCCCAAGCCTGCGGGGTCGTACGCGGCACTGGGGGCTGTTCCATGGGCCACCCTGCAGGGGGTGAGCTGGTGCCATGGCCCTGACTCTCCCTGAGGCTGAGGGCTGGAACGCGGGGCTTGTACCCCCTTATTCCAGCTGGGGTTCTGGATGGGAATGCCCCCTCCACCAGCCCTGGGCTCCTGGTCGGGGGAGCACCAGGCTTTGGGTTTGGGTGTGTGACTGTGGCCACGTTACCTTCCACCAGAGCCGCCATACTGGGGGGCCGATGAGACCAGTGGCCTGCTGGAGAGGGTAGCAGGAGAGAACGCCAGCTTGCCGTGCCCTGCCAGAGGTGAGGCTGGGCCCTGGGCCCTGGGCCTGGGAGGGGGAGAAAACCCACCCATGTTTCAGCGCCCTCGGTCACTGTGGGCAGTGCGTGTGGGTATGGAGGCTTATGGGGTCCCCACTCCTGTCCAGGACCATGCCAGGCACTTCATCCCATCAGCAGCCCTATAGGATGGGTATTAGCATTAGCTTTTTTTTTTATTATTAGGGGCAATTTAGGCCCAGAGCGGTTAAGAGGGTTGCCTGAGGTCACAGCCAGATGGTGACTCAGGGAGTATAATCTGCTTTAACCCCAGCCCCGAGTGCCCGTTAAACCCTGGGCCCCTCTGCGCCTGGGGATTGTAACAGCTGGGGCTGAGGAAGGCCCCAGGGTCCTAGGATCAGTGCTTGGTGGCCCCTGCCTCTCCCTAAGCCCCAGGCTTTCTCACAGGGCATGGATTCACGCAGTCCTGGGCAAACCAGTCCTTTGGGACCCCCTTTGGGCTACAGCACAGTGTGGGGTCGAGATAGCCACCCCTGGGTCAATTGCCCGGTGCCGTGCAGTTCACACCTCCTTTCTGAGCCTCAGTTTTCTCAGCTGTCCAGTGGGGTCACACCTGTCCCTCCACACAGGCCCAGTGGACCCACTGGACAGCAGGAAGTTTAGGTCCCAGCACCGTGCCTGGCACATAGTAGGAGCTTGCGGAAATGTGTTGAATGGATTCTACTGTTCTGTAAAATCTCCCTGCGGCACCCAGTGGATCCCACTGGCTGCCAGAGTCACTTCTGGCTTTGGGTCAAAATGGCCAAAATGTCTCCCCTGTGCATGGATGGTGCTTTCTAGAAGGGCAGGTGTCTGGGTGTCTAAGAAGAAAGTGGTAGCTTACAAAAAGCCTGGCAGGAGCCAGGAGAGCTGGTTGTAGTCTGCACTGCACCTCCTTATGCTGCGGGATCTAGGGAAATCCTTGGAATGGGACAGAGGGGAGGGCCAGGTAGGAGGCAGGTGGGAGCAGACCACCTGGAGGGGCCATCGTCCCGCTCTTGACCAGGGCGCCACCTTGTGTCAGTATCTGGTAACAGCAAGGAACCTGTAGGACCCTCCTGGGAGGTGGGAGGTGGGAGGTGGGACCACCAGCCCCGGCCTCCTGCCCTGATACCCCACAGTCACTCACAACCCCAGCATCATCCCTGGTCAGCCAGGGGCCTGTCCTCTGGGCCTGACTTCAGCCAAAAGTCCCCTCCATCAAAACTGCCTGTCCCCGCCCCGCATCCCACCCCACCCCCCTTGGCCTTCTCTCTTTCAAGCAGGCGGCTGCCCGGTGGGCAGTGTTGGGCGCTGGTATTCACCAGCCATGTGACCTTGGGCTCGGAGGGCTCTGAGGGAGAAAGGAGAAAGCCTGGAGCACAGAGGGCGTGACCCATGGGATTCCTGGTACCTGCAGTGGGTGGCACCATCCGCCTCCTCCTTGTGGGGTGGGACAGAGGCCAGGAGCCTGGCCACCAACATGCTGGTGATTTTGGACATTGCTCCTCTCTTGGTCTCTGTAAAATGGGAGTGGAGGCAAGATGAGTGGTTTTTCAGCAACAGCCCTGAGTCCCTGGAGTCTTCCCGTCACAGAGCAGTGGTGCGGTTCTGTGTGGTTAGCGCTCATTTAGGGGTTAGATGTTTGCATTTAAAAAAAAAAAAAAAAGCTTCCAGGGTTCAAAACTCAATACCCCTCAAGGCTGGCAGCTCTGAAGTCCTGGTCTCTGGGTGGCAGGAGGATGGGCTGGGGCCTTTGGGAAAATATGAGGAACTGGGAGGGGCATGTGTGTGTCTGTGGGCTGTATGTGTGTATGTTGTGTGTATGTGTTCACACATGTGTCTCCATGGTGGGGAGCAGCTGGGACACTCCAGCAGGCATCCTGGGCAGACACAGAGGAAACGGCAGAGGGTTCTATGAGAAAACAGACACGGGGGATTAAGTAGCCCAAAGATCGCAGAGCATGGGTGGCCCTCCTTTTCCGTCAGGGCCAGCGGGCAGAGTCCCCAGCACTTAAGCAGGAGCAGTCAGTACAGGGTTGGGTGGGGCAGGGGCCCTCCCGAACAAGACGACACCCAGGATGCCTTGGATGTGCCGCATCTTGATCGCAGCCCCATTCCCCCCAGGTGGGGTGTCTCACCCCTCCCTCCGAAGGTGAGGATAAAAGAGCAAGTGAGGCAGAGAGAATGTGCTTACAAAGAGCCCCTAGCTGCCAGGGGAGTCGGCAGATCAAGTGGGGGTGTGGTGCATGATAACTGGTATTTAGCAACGATTTTGACCCCAATGGGGGGTGATGGAGGGGCTGCAGGCTGCCCTCCTGCTCGGTGCTAGCAGAGGTAGGAAGGCAGGTGAGGGCCCAGCAGGCAGGGCAGTGGGTAAGGGCTGACCTTGTCCTGAGATCACTCAGCAAGTCTGCAGAGTTGGGGCTCACGTGACCGAGGCCCCGCTGCGACCACTGGGCGCCATGCCTCATGGGCACATGTGCTGCTTGGAATGCTGTGTCATTCCTTCAACACCGATCTGAGGACCTACTGTGTGCCCTGGCCCAGTGGGGCAGCTGTTCATCCCTCACCCACTGTGTGCCGGGCCGTGTGAGCCGACAGGCTGGTGGCAGAGCCAGACGCTGCACAGTCCGACACGAGGAGTGTCGGAGAAGGGCCTCCAGAGGGACTGCGGCGCTCACGGTGGGGCTAGGGGTGTGTGGCCAGCGGTGCCCGCCTCATGCCTGTGAGGGGAAGCACAGGCCTGGTCCACCTGGGGCCTCCACCGTTTATGCACGGATCTGATGGGACAATATGGGTACTGAGCACGGCGGGCTCATTCATTCATGTAGCATCTACCGTGTGCCAGGTGCTGGGCTTGCAGCTGGGGGTCCAGCAGGGAACAAAGCAAAGACTTCGGACCTTGTGGGGGGAGACAGACAATAGGCCAAAAAAAAAAACCCTAAAGAAGTTCATCTCATGTACATTAGAAAGTTGGAGATGGCAGGCAAAAGAGAAAACACAGGGCAGGTGAGGGGGTTGGGAGTGCAGGTGAGGTGGGGCCTCTGCGAAGGGAACCAGTAAAGGCTCTGGCCCCTGTGCCTGTGGCCCTCGGGCCGCTGGGAGGCCATGTGGGCGCACAGCGCTGGGTGGGGAGGTGGCAGGTGTGTGAGCACCTGCTGCTCCTCCAGCCTGGGGGGCAAGGCGGTACCTGAGACCTCCCCCCGCCGGAGGGTCAGCATCACTTGCACGGGAGTGGGGGCAGTGTGGGTGTGGACAGGGAAGGGGACAGAGTTTCGTGCTGATGGCTCTGTGTCCTGCCAGGAACGCCCAAGCCGCAGGTCACGTGGTGGAAGGGCCCATCCTCAGAGCCCCTGCGTGGCCGGCCGGGCCTGGCAGTGCTGGATGAAGGCTCTCTGTTTCTGGCCTCGGTCTCTCCCACCGACGGTGGAGACTATGAGTGTCAGGCCACCAACGAGGCGGGCTCCGCATCCAGGAGAGCCAAGCTTGTAGTCCATGGTGAGCAGGGACCCCAGAGCTGGGGAACGGCTTATACACACCTCCCAGTGGTACCCATGGATGCCTGGGTGGGGCAGCGCCAGCTCCCCAGCCTGAGAGCTCACCGCAGGGGAGGCCGCAGGTCCCTGCCCTCCCCCACCCCATGCTTATTGGGGAGGGCTTGAGGGTGTTAGGAAAGTGGCAGGTTGCATGGGCATCCCCTTCCCCAGAGAGACCCCCACGGAGACAGTGTAAGGAGAAGAAACTGGAACTCCATCAATGGCTCTAAAATGGTCTAGTGGATTTATTTTAGAAGGCTCACTGATGGCAAATGAGAGTCCCAAAGCCCACCTTCCACTGAAGCTGCTGAAACTCCCCGAGGTTCTTATTCTTCCCTGCAGCAGGAAGAGCTTCCCCACAGCTCCCGCCCCGTACCCCTCCCCCCACCCCTGGTGCTGTGTGCAGGGGGAGGGGAGCCCTGCTCCTCAACACGGGCTCATGGAGGGGCTGCAAGAAGCAGTCTTATGGTTCTTAGGGAGCACCTTCCACCTCCCTGTGAGCAGCCACCCCAGCTTGCCGGGAAATGACTTGCCCGGGAAGTTTGTTTCAAAGACATAACCTAGGCCCCATCTTCAGAGATTCTGACTCGGGGCGGGGGAGGGTACCCCCCTAGGTGACCGTGACAGCAGTTTGGGTGTAGAGCCAGATGGATCCCGGGGGTCCCGCATCTTACAAAGCTGGATGTCAGAGCCCGTAGACAGTTCCTGGGCACGACCAGCACGAGGTCCCAGGGCGAGGCCGCTGTGGCCATTCCCAGGTCCACGTGGCTCCTGATGGCCACATCAGGGGCTGGGGCGGGCATCCTGGAACCCCAGAATCTGGGGAAGGGCGGGAGTTGGCGCTGCCCGTCCAGGGGGGGAAGAATGCCCCAGAAGGGGTCTGGGTGGCCGTGGCTGTCCTGGGAGGGGGCAGCTCCTCTGCTTCTCCTTGCTCCAAAGTGCCCCCTAGCATCCGGGAGAACGGGCACAGGGCCAACGTGTCAGGCATGGCCGGGCAGTCCCTGACGCTGGAGTGTGACGCAAATGGCTTTCCGGCCCCCGAGATCACATGGCTCAAGGATGGGCAGCAGGTGGGTGTCCCCTGGGGTGGATGGCCTGTGGGTGGGATTTGGATAGGGTACAGACCTTCTGGACGGGTTCCTGCATGTGCCAGGTGTGGCGGGGAGGTGTGACAAGTGGCAGGTGTCTTTGGGGATGCACTGGGGCTCAGGGCCACGGAAGACCGTGGGCCCACGATGAAGCCTGAGGGGCTGCCTGGTGGAGAGGGCACGGCACCGTTCTGGGAATCAGAAGCCCTGGGTTCCGGTCACCAACCAGCTCCCTGGGCCTCAGTTTCCTCATTGCTGATGGGGGATGCGGGGTGGCCAGACCCCGCTCACCAGCTCCCTCTGGCCTCTTCTGCCCAGATCCCCGAGGTGGGCAGCCACCGCCTCCTGGACGGGGCCCGGGCCCTCTACTTTCCCAGGATCCAGGAGGGCGATTCTGGCCTCTACTCCTGCAGGGCCGAGAACCAGGCTGGGACTGCGCAGAGGGACTTTGATCTCCTTGTGCTCAGTGAGTGAGGCTGAGCCCTCCCAGCTCCCAAGTGTGTCTGGCCCTGCAACCCCTCCCGTTTTAGGTGGGGCAGGGGAGGGAAACTACCGGCTGGGAGCCGGGGGCATAGAGAGGCGCGTGGCAGACCTGGTCCCTGTCTTCACAGAGCTATGGGGGCAGACATTAGACAATCACATCATTAGCCTTGTAATTACATTATGCATTATGTATGTGCATTATGTGCTACGAAAGAGCGGTGCCGCACGGCAGCTGAGGATGCACAGAGCAGGGGCCGATCCAGCCAGGGGTTTGGGGGAGCTTCCCATGAGGACCGGGCAGGAGAAGGGAAGGGTGACCAGGCAGGGGTCCTGCACAAGCAAAGGCCCTGCAGCAGGCGGGGCTTGTAGGGGTTGAGGATTTTTCTCCCCCCACCCTTTCTCGTCCGCAGTCCCACCTTCCGTGCTTGGAGCCGAGGCCGCTCAGGAGGTGCTGGGCCTGACTGGTGTAGGGGTGGAGCTGGAGTGCCAGACCTCGGGGGTCCCCACGCCCCAGATGGAATGGACCAAGGATGGGCAGTGAGTGACCCCCGACGGGTAGTGCTGGGGTGGAGCCTCGGCCTGGGCTGGTGGAGAGGGCCTCTGGGGAGATGGAACTCTGCAGGGTTAGAGCTTGACAGGCATTGCACGAGCCAGCCAGGGCCCAGACAGAGGGCAGTGTGGGGCACATCCACCCCCAAGCCTGAGATCACCCAGGTGAGACCCTGCTTTCAAATGGCAGGGTTTTCTCATCACTTAGCCAGCCTTCCTTTCATTTTTAAAACTTTTTCAAAGGTGTTTTTTTAAGGTATTTTAAATTTTAAGGAATTAATATGATGTTTACCATTCCAAAGTGCACAATTCAGTCTGCTATGTTCAGTACTAAATACAAGTACACCCACAGTGTTGCACATCCGTCGCCTCTATCTGGCTCCAGAACATTTCATCACCCCCACAGGAGGCCCTATACCCATTAGCACTCACTGCTCTGTTCCTCCCCCGCCCCAGCCCCTGGCAACCACTAACCTCTGTCTCTGTGAATTTCCCTATATTTCATGTAGATTTCATGCAGTCATACATATGTAGTCTTTCGTGTCTGGCTTCTTTCACCTAGCCGCACAGTTTTCAAGGTTTTTTCATGTTGTAGCAAGTTTCAGTGCTTCATCCCTTTTAATGGCTGAATAATATTCCATTGTAGGGATGAACCACTTTTTGTTTATCTGTTTATCCATTGACCGGCACTTGGGTTGTTGGTACCTTTCAGCGACTGTGAATCTTCCAGGCTTCCGTTCCCAAGCAGCAGGCTCCCCTCTGTGTAGCCTACCCCTGCCAGCTGGCCTTACTGACAATCCTGACCATCTTTCCAGACCTGTCCTTCCGGGGGACCCTCGCATCCAGCTGCGGGAGGACGGCCAGGTTCTCAGAATCACCACCGGTCACCTGGGGGATGAAGGGCGGTACCAGTGCGTGGCCTTCAGCCCAGCCGGCCAGCAGGCCAAGGACTTTCAGCTCAGAATCCACTGTGAGCCCAGCCCCTTCCCGGCCCCCACCACGGGCTGCCGACTGCATGGAGGGAAGACGAGGGCACAAACGGGGGCCTATGAGGAGCGAGCCCCCGGTTCAGTAAAGCTGGGGAGGGCGGGGGGGTGGGGTGGACCGGGAAGAACAGAGGGAATCTGGCCCAATGTTTCCCAAATCCCATTGTCCCCATCTGAGCTTCACAAGTTTTCCTATTCCTGATACCACTCAGGATGATTGTTTAAATCAATTCACTTTTCTTTACACTGAAACTCATTTATGTAAAAGGTTGTGTAACACATCAAAGGGAAGTAGGAACCAGGGCTGCTTGGCCTTCGTGGGAGGAAGCTGTGAAAACAAATGCAACCAAAGAGGGATTTTGGAAACCCTTAGGCGTGAGCTGCCTGCATGTGGTAAAAAGGGCAGAGTAGAAAGTTCTAGAAAGGTTACCAACATAGTCGCACCAGACGCACCAAACAGCCTTTTCCTTTGTCGTAATCAGGCAGGAAGGAGATTTGGGGAGGGTGTAGCTGTTCTGTTATGAGATGCATGCCCACGTGCCCTGAGGATCAGCTTAGGTACCACCTATGGTGTGTGACCTGCCCTGTAGGAACCCCGGATCCAGTTCGGCCCCTCGTGTTACAGATGGGGGGACTGAGCCCCAGAGAGGGGAAGTGACCTATGCGGGTCATACAGCGAGTCAGAGGCAAAGTGAGGTCCGGAGCCTGACCTGTGGCCCCTCCCCCGCTTTCTGCGCCTCTTGTGATGGCCGGGCTTGCCCCCCACATCAGTGTGTCCCTGGCCGGTATCTCCTGTCTGTCCCCAGAGCCCCCCGCCCCTCCTCCCACCCCTGCAGTAGAAGCCTGTGACATGTGCGGTGCTTGTGGCCCACAGACAGGTGCATGGGGCTGCAAGGGATGGGACACCAGCCACCTCGGTGCTGGGCAGGCTCCCTGTGATTGCCCCCTGCCCCCCATTGTCCTCAGCACCTCCCACCATCTGGGGCTCCAACGAGACAAGTGAGTTGGCCGTCATGGAGGGCCACCCCATGCGGCTCCTGTGTGAAGCCCGAGGAGTGCCCACGCCTGACATCATCTGGTTCAAGGATGGGGACCCCCTGCTTCCCAGTGCCGGGGCCGTCTACACCAGGGGCGGCCGACAGCTGCAGCTGGAGAGGGCCCAGGGCTCGGACACTGGCATCTACACCTGCAAGGCCAGCAACCCCGTGGGAGTCGTGGAGAAGTCCACCCGGCTGGAGGTTTTCGGTGAGCGGCCCGGGGTCGCAGCAGGAGCAGTGGTCGGCTGGCGCGAGTGGTGGGAGGGACTCTGGGCCGTCTGGCTCTAAAGGTGGGTGAAGGGAGCAGACAGAGGCCCAGGAAAATGCGAATGAGGGGTTACCCAGGGAGAAGGGTCATCTCAGCTCGTCCAGCCTCAGGCGGGTGAGGAAACCGACGCCAGGGGAAGGGCCTGTCTCGGGGCCCCAGCGGAGCCAAGTCGAGAATCCAGGTCTCCCCCTCATGGTTTAGGGCTTCTCAGGAAATTGCGCCCACACCCCCATGACCACAGCTAATAACTAACTGCTCTTAATTAGCCACGTACTGTGGTCCAGACCCCCCTGGGGCTCGTCACAGCGCTAGCTAATTTAATCACGGCCTCTCATGGGTGAGCGTGGTGGGCTCTGGGGCTGGCCCAGGTCACCCCGCTGGGAGGCGAGAGGACCCGGTTCCTACCTCGAGGGTCTGATTTGTGCTCTGTTAACCTCAGTGTTGGCCTGCCTGGAGCGGCTTGGCTCTGCGGACATGTGAAGAACTCGGAGGACAGGGTGTGTGTAGGAGGGCAGGGATGGGTCTGAGCAGATGAAGTTTAGAAGGCAGAATGCAGCCTGGTGGGGTCATTCTGGTCCCTCTCGAGGAATCAGCTCCGGAGCTCTGGTCCCCAAAGATACAAAGGGCTTGGATGCTGGAGTCCTGGGGACCCCAAAGGGAAGTTGAGGTGTGTGGGGTCTATGGGCAGCCTCTGAGGTTGAGCCCAGCAGCAACTCCGGGATTCTTATTCAGGGATCTGAGAACCTCCTGGAAATGGATGGAAAATGCACGTGTGTGTTTTCATTATATTTTCAGTGGGGCTAGTGACCCAGGCAATGTTGAGAAGCCCATCCCGTTCCCTCATCGCCCCATGTCTCCTGGCAATGACTCTGTGGACTTAGCAACTTGGGGGCCCTCCCCAAGGGGAAGAGAGAAGCCCCCCCCCTCTGGCTGCCCCCTTGGCCATCACTGGCTGAGTTAGGAGCCCCCAGAGGCCGGGCCGTCTGGGCTAGGGTCTGCTTGCCTCCTCAGGCCAGGGAGGGGGACCAGTAGTAGGAGTGGAGGCTCTGGTCTTGGGCCCTGGGGAACCCATCCCTTTGGGTTCAGCGGATCTTGAGGCCTGCTGTGTGCAGATACTGAAGACGCACAGAGACAAGTGTTGCTCTGCTCAGGCTGAGCTCACGGGGGCAGCAGGGTGTGGAGAGAGGATGCAGGCGGTGTAGGGGGTGTGGGGATGGCACCAAGGGGCAGACGAGGGAGAGAGTGCTTCCAGCCAGGGCGCCGGGGGAGGCTCCCTGGAGGAGGTGATGTCTGAACAGGGGTTCCAGCTAGTGGAGGGAAGGAGAAGGTATTTCACATGGGTTTGGGGGTCTGTGAGGGCCTTAGCCAGGCTGCTGGTCCCTGAGCAACCCCTGCCTCTTCCCTAGTTCCGCCCACCATCGAGGGCGCTGGCAGAGGGCCCCGTGTGGTGAAGGCCGTGGCCGGGAGGCCCTTGGCGCTGGAGTGTGTGGCCAGAGGCCACCCACCCCCCACCCTCTCCTGGCACCACGAGGGGCTACCCGTGGCGGAGAGCAATGGGACGTGGCTGGAGGCGGGCGGCGGCATGCTGAGCCTGGAGAGCCTGGGGGAGGCGTCTGGAGGCCTGTACAGCTGCGTGGCCAGCAGCCCCGCTGGGGAGGCCGTGCTGCAATACTCCGTGGAGGTGCAGGGTGAGCCCAGGCCTGCCCCACCCGAGTCACCTGGGCCGTGGACCCCTTCTCCCACGCCTAGTGTGTGCAGAGGGAATGGAAGTGACCGGTGCCCTGGATTGCATGAGACAGATAAGGGGACAGACGAGGACACTGCGATCTGGGCTGGGGCCCCTCAGGGATACAGTGTGGGCAAGGTTGATTCCCGGGATCAAGGGTCCCGGCTCCTGCCCATGACCCTGGGCCAGGTCACCCAGGGTGAAGGACACCGCTCTGCCTTCCAGGAGATGCTCCTGGTCAATGGGATGGACATTTATACCCTGAGGCCCAAAGCTGGGTGGTGGGTGCTGGTCCCGGGGAGGGGTGGGCGGGCCCTTCGACTGCTTCTTGCATTTCACGGACACTTCACAGCCATTAACCCTGGATAAGGCAGGGAACAGGGAGACGGGACTCCTGAGCCCTGGGTCTGGTGGGAAGACATTGAATAAACAGACCGATCCTGTGGGGAGGCTGAACTTGGGTGGCCCTAGAAGGCCTTCTGGACGAGGGGCCGTTTATGGGAGTGCTTGAAGGGTGAGGGGAAGCTTGGGCCTGGCTCTGGCGGCAGTGGGACTTGGCAGGGCTGTAGGCCGGGATTTCCTCAGCTCCAGACACCCAATGGTGGCCCCTGCCCACAGTGCCCCCGCAGCTCCTGTTGGCTGAAGGCTTGGGCCCGGTGACCACCCTCGTAGGACAGCCCCTGGACCTTCCCTGCCAGGCCTCAGGCTCCCCAGTGCCCGCGATCCAGTGCGTATGAGGTGGTGGAGGCCAGAACTGGGGGGCTGGGGGACAGGCAGAGAGCATGCTTTGGGGGTGGGTGGGGACGGGAGATGCTTCCCCTCCCAGGAGCATGAAAGAAGCCATGGAGCCCAGGATGTGAGAACAAGAGAGAGATGCTGCCTGGCCTCTTGGCCTGTCCTGTTGCCCCTACCTTCTCTAGCCTCAGGCTGACCCGTTCCCCTCCCCACACACCTTAGGTGGCTGCAGAATGGCCGCCCAGCCGAGGAGCTGGCCGGGGTGCAACTGACCTCGCAGGGGACCACACTGCACATCGACCACGTGGAGCTGGACCACGCGGGCCTCTTCGCCTGCCAGGCCACCAATGAAGCAGGCACTGCAGGGGCTGAAGTGGAGTTGTCTGTGCACGGTGAGGGCGGCCTGGGGTTCTGGGGCAATGACAGCCGGAGATGCCGGGGTGGGTGAAGCCAGCCGGACAGACATGGGAAGGGCATGGAGCTGGTCTTCTCTGGACAGCATTTCTGGTCTGGACTTGCCAGCTCCCCAAAGAGACACAGGTGTGAGAGGGTGGTCTCAGCTGCTCACCACACTTGTCTACAGGCCTTCGATCCCCTCCCCAGCCTCCCCCTGACCCCAGCTGGCTCTCTTTATGCTGACCACGCTGAACTTCATTCAACTGTTTAAATACGTTGGCTTTCTTACCTCCAGTCCTGCAAATGCTGTTCCCTCTGCCTGGAACATTCTTCCTCTTTGCCTGATTAGCTCCTCCCTATCTTTCAGGTCTGTCCTAAAAAACACCCCTTCCTCCAGGAAGCCCTCCTTGATTCCACCATGGTTTTAATCTGCACTGCCCAGCCTCTCGTGGCCATAGCCCCCCACCTACTGTACTGGGACTTCTCATTTGGCTGTTCATCTCCACTGCCCAACTTGGGAGCTCTGAGGGCAGCACAGAACTTTCTCTGCTGTGTCCCTGTGCATAGTGCAGTGTGGGACACAGAGCAGATGCTCAGTGCACATATCGATGGATAATGGATGGATGGATGATGAATGGGAGAGTTTGAAAGGGAGAGACTAGCTCTGCCGGCTCTCAGTCTGGTGCCCTTTTCCCTAAGGCCAGGTGTCTGGAGGGTTGAGTGGAGGGAAGCTAGAGGCCAGACCTGCCAGGCCACTCCCTCCCTCCCCAGGCATTGAAGAGGTTTCTGGGTGCCCACTGCACCCCTCCTGACCCTGATTGGGCCTCCCTGCCTCTCCCTCTGCGCAGAGCTCCCGTCGGTGGTCATAGTTGGGGGTGAGAACATCACAGCCCCTTTCCTGCAGCCTGTGACCCTCCAATGTGCAGGGACTGGGGTACCTACCCCAAGCCTCCGCTGGTGGAAGGATGGTGTGGCCCTGGCAGCCTCGGGGGGGAACCTGCAGGTACGTGCAAGGGCCCCAGGGCTGGCAGGCCAACCTTGCACAGGGGGAGGGGCTGCTTTTTAGTGGCCCCGGGGAGCCCAAGCAGAGATCTGGCAGCCTGGGGGCAGGACAAACAGAGTCCACTCATCCTAGAAATGCTCAGTGGGCCTTGGGGTGCTGGGTCTGAAGAAGGAAGGGAGCCCTAAGCCTAGTCGAGGTCCCCGGAGTTTGAGCTCCCAGAGGGAGAAGATGGGGGGAGGGGAGTATCCCCAAGACCAGAGGGATCCCCTGGAATCTGAACGGGTGACTCAGAACTCCAGCCGGAACCAAGCTTGTGCCCATGCCTCACTTCTCCTGCGCTGGGGTCAGCAGCAGCCTGGCCACTTGCCACATCCGTGTTGCTCTGACCCCGGGCCCCACCCACATCCTGGCACACACCTGCCTTCTCCACCAGATCGAGAAGGTGGACCTGAGGGACGAAGGCATCTACACTTGTGCTGCCACTAACCTGGCTGGGGAGAGCAGGAGAGACGTGGCGCTCAAGGTGTTGGGTGAGGATGCGGGTGGAGGCGGAGCCTGGACCTGGGGTGGTGGGTGATTGAGGGCCCGCAGGGCTGCCGTGGGGGGTTGGGGACGGCTGGGGGTTCTAAAATTAATGTCACGTACTTAACTTTAGAAGTAGAAAATCATTTGCCCCGTGGTCGCTTTTGGTTGTTTTCTGCTGGATTTTCAGTGGGCAGCCTTGTTCTCATTCATATTTATCTTGGCTTGTTCTATTCATTTGGGGGCTCATTTAGGTCCTTGTGTATATGGGCAAATCCTTGCCCTTGTCACTCCTCGTGACTGTCTGGGGTCCACCTCCCCAGTGTGCCTGATGCTGCCTCTTCCTGGGGGGTCGGGTGCCTGGGTGGTCCTTGTTGCCCAGCCCACCTTGGGAAGGCTGGGGAGGGGCACTGGGGAGGCTGAGATGAGCCACCCAGAGCCTGTACCCCCTCCAAGCCAGGGCTCTCCTCGTCTACCCTAGTGCCCCCCAATATCGAGCCGGGCCTGGTCAAAAAGGCAGTGCTGGAAAATGCCTCCGTAAACTTGGAGTGTCTGGCTTCAGGTGTACCCCCTCCTGGTAAGTAAGACCCCTCCTCTTGGCTGAAAGCCACCTCCAGCCAAGCCCAGTTCCCCATCCAAAGGGGCGGGGCAGTGCCGCAGGCACCACTCTGGCTGTGGACAAAGCAGGATGAGATCAGCAGGCCTTCCCCTTCCCTCCCCAGCATTCCCCTCTTCCTTGTCAACAGCTGTTTATGCAATGCCCATTACCTGTCAGTCACTGCCAGGGCCCAGAGCCTTTGCACTGGTGTCTGAAACAAACCTGCCGGGTTTCTGCTGAGTTTGTGGCTTCACGGGGCCGCCCCGGGGCTGGCGGTGAGAAACAGGACCTCCATCTGGGCCTCTACTCTAGACCAGCAGTTGAGCAAAGGTTTGAGAGCTAGGGCTAGGTGTGGGTGCCCGGCAGACAGGATGGGCCCAGGAAGGGGGTCCGTTTCCTGTGCCCCATCTGAGCCAGCTCAACCCTGCTTTGCCTGGGGTGGTGAGCCCTGGAGGTATTTGCCCTCTGCCATGGGGAAACCCTCTTCTGGGATGGACCCTGGCAGGAGGTAAGGAAGTTGAAGATACAGTCGGTCGTTAACTAATTTATTTATTATCTCTTTATTAACTTTATTTTTTAAATTTATTTTTAAATTGAAGTATATTGGTTTACAATGTTGTGTTAATTTCTGCTGTGCAGCAAAGTGACTCCATAGGATATTGAATACAATTCTCTGTGTTATACAGTAGAACTTTGTTGTTTATCCCTTCTATATATGATAGCTTACATCTGCTGACCCCAACCTCCCACTCCGTCCCTCCCCCAACCCCCTTTCCCTTGGCAACCACCAGTCTGTTCTCTGTGTCCACGAGTCTGTTTTGTAGATAGTTTCATTTGTCTCATATTTTAGATTCCACGTATAAGTGATAGCATATGGTATTTGTCTTTCTCTTTCTTACTTCACTTAGTATGATAATCTCTGGTTCCATCCACGTTGCTGCAAATGGCATTATTTTGTTCTTTTTTATGGCTGAGTAATATTCCATTGTATATTGTGCCACATTCTTACTTCACTTAGTATGATAATCTCTGGTTCCATCCACGTTGCTGCAAATGGCATTATTTTGTTCTTTTTTATGGCTGAGTAATATTCCATTGTATATATGTGCCACATCTTCTTTATCCATTCATCTGTTGATGGACATTTACGTTGTTCCCATGTCTTGACTACTGTGAATAGTGCTGCTATGAACATGGGGGTGCATGTAGCTTTTTATAATTGGTCCATATTTATGAGGCTGCTGTTTTGGGGTACACCGTGTTCTCCTCTAAAGATCTCCCTCATGGGTGGTCTCCTGGCAGGGGGAGGACGTGAGGGGCTGGGCTGACTTTGACTCTCCTCGCTCCTGGCTGCCCCAGCCTGCATCCCTCTCTGCCTTCGGTTCCATCTCAGACGACGCTGCCCTGTTCTGCCCCGCCCCCCTTCCTGGAGAACACTGGCTTTCTCCAGTGCCTGAAATAAAGGCACACCATGTGGCCACCCAGGAAGCCTCTCCTGGATGCCTATGACACAGGGCACAGCCTGAAGGGCTGGCAGGGACCCTTTCATCTCTCTTCTCTTCACCAGATATCTCCTGGTTCAAGGGCCACCAGCCTGTCTCTGCCCAGAAGGGAGTGACGGTGTCAGCTGATGGGAGAGTTCTCCTCATTGAGCGAGCCCGATTTTCTGACACTGGGAGCTACCGCTGTGTGGCATCCAATGTGGCAGGCAGCACAGAGCTGCAGTATGGCCTTCGGGTCAATGGTGAGCTGCCCTGAGACTAAAGGGATCCTTGTCCCCAAAGTTGTCTTCCATCCATTTGTCCCTCAGTCTGTTCATCCATCTGTCGTCCACCCATCCTTCCTTCCATCCATCATCCATTCATCCATCCTTCCTTTCATTCATCTTCCCTTCTTTCCATCCATTGATAATTTACCCATCCATTCTTCTATCCATGCATGGAAACACCCAACTGTTCTTCCACTGATCCAGCCATCCATCCAGTCCTCTGCCTATCCACCCATCCATCCATCTAACCATCCATTTATTCAAACATCATTTCCTCCATCTATTGAGTACAGGCATACCTCAGAGATACTGCAGGTTCATTCAGTTCCAGGCCACCACGATAAAGCGAATATCAAAATAAAGCAAGTCACATGAATGTTTTGGTTTCCCATTGCATAGAAAAGTTCTGTTTACACTATACTGTAGTCTAGTAACTGTGCAGTAGCATTATGTCTAAAGAAAGTACAGACTTTAATTATAAAGTATTTTATTGCTAAAAAATGCTAACCATCATCTGAGCCTTTGGTGAGTCGTAGTAACAAGCTCAAAGATCACTGCTCACAGATCACTATGACAAATAGAACAGTGAGGGAAAGGTTTGAAATGTGGCGGGAATTACCAAAATGTGACGCAGAGACCAGAAGTGAGCCAATGCTGTTGGGAAAATGGCACCGATAGACTTGCTCAAGGCAGGGCTGCCACAAACCTTCAGTTTGTAAAACACATAACATCTGCAAAGTGCAGTGAGGTGAAGCGTAGTAAAACGAGGTGTGCCTGTACGTGCTCTGGGCAGACCCTGGGGCTGCAGCCCCGAGCAAGACGGACCCAGGAGCTTTCAGTCTAGTGGAGGATATAGTAATTGGATACTTACCCAAAGTACTGTTTCATGACAATTGTGATAAGAGCTAGGAAAAGTGAGGTACAGCTGAATGCCTGGAACTGGGGCGCTGACCTGGCCTGGGGGGGGGGGGTCCCAGGAGGCATCTTTGAGAGCTGGATGCCTAAACGGAGACCATGTGCTTTCAAATGCTAAGGCTATAGCGAATTTGAGAAACTGAAAGGAGGCTGGGGGCTTGGAGCTTACAGAACAGTGAGAGGAGGGGCCAGGGTGGTGCTGGGGACCAGATGGAGGCTGGAAAGATTGGGTCTTTATCCTGAGAGCGGGGAGTAGGTAGCTGGACAGGAGGCTGGGACCCTGGGTGTCATGGCTCATGCCTCCCAGATACAACTGAATCTTCTGACCATTTTCTGCCCACGAGGGGCTGTCTGGAGGCTGATACCTCTGAGTTGGAAAGCAAAACCTGCCCAGGGATTCTCAACCCTGGTTGCCCCTACACCATCCCCCTGATAATGACCTCGTGCTGACCAGAAGGCCCAAGTTGAGGGGCTGCTTCTGCCAGTTCCTAGCTGGTCAGCCCTGGGCAGGTGGCTTCCCTCTCTGAGCCTCAGTTTCCCATCTGTGGAAGCCTCATGGTGGAGTTGGAAGGGTGAGATGAGCAACCACAAGGACTGCAGAGCGCTGCGCCCATGTTGGGAGTGGCTGTCCCTAAGCTTTTGTTTGTGGCCGTGTGCTCCCGTGTGGGTACCCAGCCAGGGGCCCTGCCTGCTTCACCCCCAGCGGGGCTCAGCCTGTGCCCTGTACCGCCCTCACCCTGCAGCGCCTCCGCACATCACTCTGCCACCCAGCCTGCCGGGCCCCGTGATGCTCCACAACCCAGTTCGGCTGACCTGTAACGCCACGGGAGCCCCCAGCCCCATGCTGATGTGGCTGAAGGATGGAAACCCCGTGTCCACTGCAGGGACCTCTGGCCTCCAGGTCAGTAGGGGTGGGTGGCCCTGACTCGCCTCCCGGGTGCCTCAGTAGGTGCTGGGAGCAGAGGTTAGGGCCTGGGAGTGCCATGGGGAGAGGGAAACAGTGATGGCCCAGGATGGTTGGCTGGAGGGAGGAAGGGGAGATGCTGAACGGAGCCTAGAGCCAGGTGGTCTCCAGAAACATAATGCATACCACCAAGGTGAGCCGAATATGTAATTTAAAAATTTCTAGTAGCTGCATTAGGATGAATAAAAAGAAACAGGTGAAACCAATTTTAATAATGCATTTTTAAGGAATTCCCTGGGGGTCCAGTGGTTAGGACTCCTTGCGTCCACTGCAGGGGGCACGGGTTCGATCCCTGGTCGGGGAACTGAGATCCCGAAAGCCTCGCAGTGTGGCATAAATAAATAAATAAATAAATAAATAAATAAAAGTGTCCTTTGGCTACTTTATTTATAAATAAATAAAAAGTGAATATTAAAACAAAACTGCTGTACAAAAAAATACATTTTAGTTCACCCAGTATATCCAAAAAGTATCATTGCACCACGTGATCATTATAAAAAATCATTAACCAGACATTTTTGTACAAACTCTTTGAAATCAGTTGTGCATCTTACACTTGGGGACCAGCCCTATTTCAAGGGCTCCCTAGCCATAGCCCTACTCCAGGGGACTCT